CCCATTGGTTAACCGCTCCCTCGACTCCGCCTTCTGGACCTGGCCCCGCCTCCCTTGCCTTCGGAACAGTTTCCGGTTCGTCGACAGAAGAGGCTGCAGCTTCGTCACTTCGGCTGTCCGCTGCTCGCTTCTCACCTGCTAGCTTGCTCTTCGTTCGCTTTGCTTTTGGTTTGATTGCTCGTGTATGACTGTTTTGTTCTTGATTTCCGATTTTCGCCTCGTCCTTTATTGTACCTTCGCCCTGGTTTTGACTGCCTGCTTGGTTTTGAACTTTCGCTTGTACTCCGACTTCGCCTCTTTCATCTCCCCTCTGGATACCTTCGCTTCGGCTGTGTGTTTGTGTGTTCTACTAGGTGTGTGCAAGGAGTGTCTGCCCTTTTTGTTCTTCGTAAACGTGGGGTTACTATTTGTTTGGTTAGGGAGTTAGGCTTAGGCATTGTCGTTTCGTTTCACCTATTTTGTGTTCACTTAGGATTAGCTTAGCTTGTGGTTATATTCGGTAGATGTGTTTTGTTTGTTTCTTTGGCCTTTGTCACTCCTGACGTTCGTTACACCTAGTGTTTGTGAAGTGTCTGTGAAAAACTATATATAAAAAAACTATAGACTCCCTTTGTGTCCCGTGTTCCCTTCTAGCTATGGTTGTCAAATGAATGTAGATTCGTTAACCCTTCGGCGAGCTACTTGGAGAGGGGTTGCGAGCTACTGGTAGCTCGCAAGCGACGTGTTGGAGACCCCTGCCCTAGGCCCACTACTTATTCTAGATGGATATGTCATTGCCAAGGATCACCAAAGCATTCTGGAGCACTGTGTTCACCCAGTGGTTCAAACATTGTACCTTGAAGATGGTGACGTGTATCAGGATGACAATGCACCAATACGTACAGCAAGACTGTTGACAGAGTGGTTTGATGAACATGAAAGTGAAGTTGAACATCTCCCATGTCCTACACAGTCAGCAGATCTCAATATTATTGAGCCACTTTGGGATGTTTTGAAGGAGCGAGTTAGGAAACATTTTTCCTCCATTTGCATCATGTAGTGACCGGACCACTGTACTGCAAGAGGACTGGCTCAAAAATCCCTCTGCAGTACTTGTATCTGTCCTTAAAAATAAATTAATGCTGTATTGGCTGCTACAGAAGGCCCTACACAATACTAAAAAATTATTGTGGTCTAAAACCAGGTGTTTCAGTTTCATTATCTAACCCCCGTAGATATCACATTTTCTTACACATAGGAACACCTAGAGCAGGGGTGGCCAATCTTATCTGCAAAGGGCCGGTGTGTATGCAGGTTTTTGGGGTAACCTGTAGGTGAGCTGTTCAAACCCAGGTGTGAGAACTCTTCAGCCAATCAGTCCTCTAATTAGTAATCTAATTAGGCAGTTGCAGCGAAAACACGCGTGCACACCGGCCCTTTGCGGATAAGATTGGCCGCCCCTGACCTAGAGGGTACGTTATTTCATCTGCTTTTTTCACACGTACAGGAAACTGCATCTCATTTTCTTCACTAGAACAGCATCCAAAGATTCACTTCATCATGTTTGCTCTCTTGGAAGGGCACCCTAGTGGGCATTTCATGAGTATTCTCCACCAGAAAGGCACACATAGGGCACCCCAAGTTTACCCAATCGTATGGGCACCTTATATGGCACTACAACACATTGTCTCCACTAGAAACGCATTCATTAGGACAACTCCTCACACAGGGACAGACACCCTATACAGCACTGCATGACATTAGGAGTAACCTTACAGCACTGTTTCCCATTTTCTCTTCTGGAAAGGGCACACTTTGGGACACTTAATCATGCAGAAGGAGCACAGAGGACACTTCATAATGGCACCCTTTTCTATTGATAGGATGCACGTAGGGACTTCTTAGATCATTGTAAGGACATGGTGTAGGGCACTGCATCAAATCTTTAAATTAAAAATATGATAATATTAATGCTCTTTGCTTGTTCAATGGGCCAATTCTCGCCTACCACGGGGGAGGTTGGCTTTCCATTGCCTTGTTTGTCGTAAATTGCTTTGGATAAAAGCATCTGCCAAATGAATAAAGGTAAATGATTATATTCATAATATTTATCATTATTGCACTGCATTGCAGATTTGCATTGGTCCAAGTATCTGTCACATGGCAGTAACACATCCTGAATGTGCCAAATATCAAGCTACACCCCAAGGTCTACACCCATCTCCCCAGTTTAAAAACTCCGCTCTAAACCCCAACATATGAAAATGCTCACACATATTGCAGCACCGAGTTGGAAACAATTTCACAGCAATTAATGAATTTGTTTCAGACCCATCACAATATTTTATTGTAAATACATAATGACTGAAAATACATAGTCAGCCAAAAGAAACATAGTATTTTTAAGATTATACTTAGCATAACACAATCAGACCCTGCTGTCATACCACCCACATTATTCATTCGATGCAAACACATATACTGTAGAATTTATCCTCAGATTGTTCAAACCGTCACCAAAACTCACTTGGGGTCAAAACACATTCTGGCACTTTATAGGGAACATCAAAAAACTTTATCGGCCCGTCACTAAAGTCTGCCTTTTGACAATGAGATCCCTTTGATTGTTCGTAAGCTCTCTCTGAACCATAGCTTTTGATATAGGATGCAATTGAGTAAACATCAGGAAAATCCTACAAAATCAGCTGAACTTAATCAGAGTCACTTTAATTCATAGCGGGTGTGTACACCAAAAGACTCTGCTGTAATTAAATAAAAAGGTGCTTTAAAAAGTATTTAAGGGTGTGCACTCTTATACAACCAGCAAGTTTATTATTTTTTTTTCATTAGAGTTTATTTTTATAAAACATTTTCACCAAACATACATCAGCACTATTGGTCTTCAGGAGAATGAGCAGGTCCAGGAGCTGCAGAGAGTAACAAACTTTATAGTCTGCGTTAAAATAAGCATTGAGAAGGTCTTCTTCTTA